TTAAAATTACACATGTGAGTAGATAAATGTATAGGGAATGCGATGAAATAAAAAAAATAAACATTCAGTTATTAATTCTGGAATAGTTATTAATTAACTGTTAAGGTTGTAGAAAAAAATACCACGCGAACCGCTCTGCAAGCCGTTGGAATGTGACTACAGAGTTGAAACTTGATGTGCTGAAAAGGCTATTTTTATTTGTGAACCTATAAAAGATTTTTGTTAAAATTTTATTTTTTTGTAAAATTATAGCAATTTTAAGTTTTATTTTTGTTGCTGTTTTGTCTCAATTTTTTTGCTTTTCAGTACATTTTGTTTCGATGCCATAAACTATTAAACTTATTAACTTGGAATTATATAGGTTTGTAGAAAAATATACAGGGATTACGATGGAACAAAAAAAATTGATTATTAGGTAAAAAATTATCAACTGTTAATTTTTTTGTAAAAAAAGAAATACCATATCTGAGGATCTGTTGCCCGCTGAAATGCTACTACAGAGTTAAAATTTGACGTTTTGAAAGGGCTATATCTATTTATGAATTAAACATAAGTTTGTCTGGAAATTCCTATTCGTTCGAAAGATTTAGGCATGAATTAGTACATTTATAGCTTTGTTAGATAAGGATGAAAGGTACATTTTCCTATAATTTCATAATAAGTGCAATTGAAACATAATACCTTTTGTACTTAAAAAGTCCTTTTAACTTTTGAAATTTTTGCCCTTTTCATTCATTCATGTTTGGCTTCATTCGATTAATCGAGAAAAAATACACGGGAAACCTCACTCTTCTGCACAGCGATGTAAGAGGCGTAAATAAAAGCAAATACAAAATTGTAGTTCTTGTACATAAAAACCTTTATTCCTTTTTTAAAAATTTGTCTTACCGATTCCAGTTATGCGCATGGAAAACAAATCTTACATGTTCAGATAGTTCCTGAAAGTATACGTAAGAACTTGTCAAAAGAAATACTTTTTATAAATAAAACATCTTGAAACTTTATAAATATATTGTTCGGTTGACTAGTTTCATTCGATTCAGTGTGAAGATTTGGATAGGAAACAAAGCGTTACTTGTTTAGATAGCAGTAACAGTATACAAGCACTGCCTGCAACTTCTAAAAGATCCGATCGTGTGGGGATAGAATAGCTCTGAATTATTAAATTTTAAAACAATTTTAAAGTTTGATTAGTCAAGAACTGTTTAACCAATTTAAGTAGTAGTTAAGAATAGATAGTTTAATTATGTTAACTCATCAGAATGATGTTTTATATAATGTAATTTATCCCTAAAAAATTGCATTCTCTGAATAAAAGAACGAATTATTGATACTCAAAATGCTGTGTTGGGGCATTAGCCTGTAAAATATGATCTCAATAGATTTGAGCGTGGGTTAGTATATTTTGTTCCCCCTTACATTTCAAAGAATCTAATCCAAATCTTTTTTAAAAAAAGAAGAAAAAAAAGGCGTGTATTTTTGAGAAAGTATACATTTTTGTGTCTGATTTTGTAATTTAAAATATTGTCTGTTCAAAATACATTTAAGCTAAGGCCCCAAAATATCAAAATTTAATCTTTATACGTATAAGTAAGAATTATTAAATAAAAAAAAATATTAAAGCGTCAGATTTATATTTTACGCACACTGCACATTTAAAATTTTCTGGGAGTAACCTTACCTTCTTTATACTCTCGATTGATCTACTTTTAGTATTTTTTGAGTAATTTTATTTTATAACCATCGTTGAACAGCCGACTCAATTTTGGATTTACAGCTACTAATGTTCAACTCCGAAGCTTTGTAATTTTGAACAAAGTTCAGAAGACAAGGGAACTCTTGGATTAAGTATTGGGAGAATTTGGCCTTTGCGGAGGACTTTTTTAAGCAACTAACCCGCATTTGCGTTGCATGGAGAGGAAAACCACGAAAACCTTCCACGGTTAGAACGATGACAAGGGGACTCTAACCAATGATCCGTCTATCACTGAGGATATTTTACGTCAGCACTGTGGTCGGTTCGAGCCCGGTACGGAATTCGAATCGACCAGCTATCGCTTGGATCGAACCCGGGTGTATCAGAGATAGTCTATAGAACCGTTTGAGGTTTAATTCTCATCTGTGTATGAGAGCAATTACTTTTAATTTGAGAGCAGCATAGTCGCATTCAGCATTTGTGTTATTAAACTATAGGTGTACCCATACTCCTTGACACAAAACCCAATTTCAAATAAATCTCAGCCATTTTAGAGAACAAACAAAACGTTTACCATGTTAACATATTTTTAACATAAAAATGGTTTATATGAGGATGTTAAACATATTTAAATGTTTTTTTTAATTAGGAGTTTTATAGTTATTTCAGAGCAGAGGTAAGTTTTGAGACAGCTTAGGCTGGTTGTCCACAAATAGTAACTACTAACTGATGCATTTATTAGACGCACTATAAGATTCTATGTAAAATCTTAATTATCAGGTAACATACAGCAATCTATACAGCTTTATTGTTTATACGCGGTTTGCACTTGTTTACGTTTGTGTAACAATTGGTTAAATTTGACGATATATAATATAACATCGACGATATGTTATATGGAATATTTATTATATCAAGTATTATATTAGTATATTATAATAATTAGATCAAATTATTCGACGCACTGTAGTGTTCTAATAATTACATGTTTTGCGCGTGTTTATAGGCTTTTATATTTAAACAGACATGTATTGGGTTTTTATTCAGGAGATTTTTTATGTATTTCCTATTTGTATTTATTTTTAACGTATTGCATTGCAATGTTAATCCATTGATAGACTAACGTAAACAGGTGCAAGCAGTCACATAAAAAGAATAAAGCTGTATAGTATCACCTGTATAATTAAGATTTTACATAGAATCTTATAGTGCGTCTAAACATTTGGCCAAAGACTGTAGTTTTACTTGAATTAACTTATCTCTAAACTTTAAAATACCAATAGAGATGAAAAAGAATTTGCAATGAAAGAATTTTCTTAAGAAAAATATGATCATGAATTTTCCATCACCTTGACTCTTGTGAAGACAAGAAAATTATAACAACTGAAGAGTAATTTTCTCAAAACAATTATTTACTGAGCGGTAATTTCGTATTTGAAAAGAGTTTTAAGAAATCCCATCGCAATTATGACTCAAATTATGTTTCGTTGAATCTTTCATAGACAGCGGTTGACCTTCAAAATCATTTGAATGAAGGCATATTTGATTGACAGTCGGGGAAAGTGCTGATAATGGCATAACGCGTTCTCACCTTTCCGGTTTTGTTCATTGAAAAGAAAAAATAAATAATAGTAAAAAAGACTTTAATGTTTATATTATTACTTTTATTATGATAGAGGCGTGCTGCAAGTTGAATCGTGACTCAGTTTCACTGATAAAAGTATCGACTGCACTCTCGTTTTTTAAGTGTCGGTTTCATGAATATGCATTATTTTTAATGTTTGCGGTTTTATCTTTCAGCTTTCATAGACTATAATTTGTTATTCTTTCAACATTTATAAAGTTTGTATGAAATAGTCTCATGGTTATCTTTCGCTTGACGTCATAGGGACGGCAGCAATGACGTGGGGAGGTTTTTACATGCCCGGGGTAAACTCGACCCGAAGATGCAGAGAAAAATAAGCTCATTTTCTTAGAAAAAAATAATAACTTTTTCTGTAATGAAAGTGGAAATTATTCTAGAATAAAAAATTATTATTTGCGAGAAAATATTCTGAATTTCTTTCTTCTGAAGTGCGAAAATGAATGAAATTTTAAAGATCTAGAAATTCCTTATGAAATTACAGTAGGGAACCGATTATCCGGAACGATCGGGACCATCGTTATTCCGGAAAACTGATTTTTCCGGTTTTCTGAATCGCTACAAAAAGCCGTTTTTTTTATTGTTAAACCCAACTAAAAAAATTTTTTTTTTGGAAATAATCTTAAAAAGAAGAAAAAATGATGAAGTAATACACTAATGATTATTTCCAAAATGATGGTAAGGTAAACATCTTTCAAAAAAGAAAGAAAAATCCTAAAATCTTATGAGGAAAAAAAAAATTTTTTTAAAAAAATAGCGGGAAAATTTATCAAATTTCGTTCCGGTTTTCTGATTTCCGGATAACGGGTTCTGTACTGTATTATGTTTGGAAATTGTACTTAACTTCCCATAACCCCAAAGTACTTCACCGTTAAAAAATTAATTTTATAATGAAAATATGAAGAAGTTTATTTCTGCAACAGCTCATTGTGCGCCACAAGGGTAATGTTGATTAGGAACTATGCTCAGACCTGATCGATGACACGATGTAGGCAATGGGTTCGGCCTTCATATCTAATCCTATTTTATTTTATATTTTATAACCGTGATTGAATAACAGAACCAATTGTTTGGGTTCACGACTACCAATATTCAACTCCGTAGCCTTGTCATTTTGAACCCAATCCAGAAGACAAGGAAACTCCTGAATCAAGTAATGGGAGAAATTTGGAGAACTTTTTGAGGGAACTAACCTGCATTTGCGCAACATGGTGAAGAAAACCACGAGAACCTCCCATGGTTAGCCTGATGGCAAGGGGACTCTAACCCATGATCTGTCTATCACTGAGGATATTTTATGTCAGCGCTATAATCGGTGCAAGCCGAATGAGGATCGACCAGCCATCGCTGGGATTCGAACCCAGTTCACCTCATTGGAAGGCGAAAGCTCTGTCCCCTGAGCTATCACGGCTCTATATCCAATACTAATCCCTCAATTTGAAGCTGGGTTTGCTTCAAATCGACGCCTACTATTGCACCCCAGTCTTAGACAATAAAGTTTCGATCTAACCTGATATTTATAACCTGAGTCGTCAATTGAATGTTCCTTTCTATTGGTTGCCTGGGACGGTAGCACCCACCATCCCTTTCAGTACGTCTGTCAGTCTATTTATGAGTAGAATGCAAGCAAAAAAATTTGAAAACAACTTATTCAAAAATGAATAACATGAAAGTATGAAAATTTTATTTAGAAAATGTAAAATGTAGCAGAAAAAGTGTAAAGCACATTATTATGATGCCCTTCAACCCTTGTGACGCCATTTCGGGCAATCACAAACAGGGCATCCTCCTTCCACACTCTTTATCTGGCAAAATCTGCTGCACTTGGGAGGTGTACAGCGAAGCTTGCATTCGCACACTTGGCACCCACTTTCATCCACTTCCAACTTGCAGCCAGCTCCTAAGCATGATGCTGCCGGGGCACACTTTGGTTCTTCTATGTAATGAGAAATAAGTATTAGTGTATTAAAAAAGTGTTAGTGTAGTACATTTCCAGTGGAGAAAAAGGCTATGTATTGATATTTTAATAATTTAGTACGCAAAGATTATTGTCCACCTCTAAATTTAAATGATGTCAACAGATGTGTGAAAGGTCAGGCATAGAATTGGTTATGCTCAAAAATATTGACATTTATAATTGACATTAATACTGACATCAGTAAATATTTTGGAAGATTTTACATGGCAAAACTGTTGGCACAATTTAAAAGATAATGACTAAAGCTTTTAGAAATGGTGTCTTCTTTAACCATACAAAATTTTCATGTACCAAAATAAAGCTCACGAGGTTAAAATCTTCTACCAAGCACTGTAATTAAAAAAGCATTCTTGTATAAACATCTCAATCGTATAAAATTTCAAAAGTTTGGATGTTAAAGCTAGAAAGAAGTTTTTAACTCCCAAATCTCATTTTTGTCGATCTGAACTTTGCCTAAAAATGTCATCATTTCCAAATCTTCGAGCATGTTCTTTCAAACTGTGCCAACAGTTTTGCCATGAACAAATTATGACAAAATTGTTGCTAAGAGAAAGATTCTTTACATAAAGTAAATATAGAAGTGTTTCCATTATTTTGATCTTACCTTCCCTTTCGCTTGGACATTCGCAACTAGGACATGGTCCGTCAAACACTTTTTCAAGAAAACAGCCTTCAGGACATAGGGGTGGAGAGCACATCACTTTGGGCACCTCAAAATCTAAGGGAGAAAAGTTTTTCTAAGTGGATGCCACAGAGCAGATGAAAACTTTCGTCGCAAACTCTCTTTATCCTTCATTACTAATTCAAAATTTAAAAGAAAGAAAAAGTAAGCTCAGGCAAACTTAGAGTAAGTTATGAAGTTTTAATTGCTGAAAAAAATTCTTCAAAATATTGAAATGTGTATTGTATCTACCATTAAAAAATAAAATTCCAATTCACTAGTATATAACACACGTTTACTAGATTCTATGTTGGGGTACCTTTCCTGAGTGTTGACATTGTCGATATCTACTCTCTATCCCCACATTGGTGACCCTCGGACGTGAGGTGAACATGCCTACCTAGACGTAAACTCCCACTTCGATATGAACACGTCTATCGTGACAGTAACGCCCACTTCGATCTAAACACGCCTACTTCGATGAATAGTCCAAATTCAGCAGTTGACTTGCCACTTGTGACTGCAACATTATCCACCTCCTCACACTGTTGCTTCTCAGTCTCGATCACACACAACATATACATTCGGCTGCTAAAGGCAACACAGGAGCGGCCACGACAGTGAAGCTAATACAGCTCTCACGATCAGCACTCACAAGTACGGTGATTTTAATACAGCTCTCCCGGCTTCTCACATAACAGCAATGAATCAACTAGTGGTATACGTTCATCGAATTCTATCACAGCTATAATTCTGGTGAAGTACTGCAGTGTCTACCACTACAAAAAAATAGAATTCCAATCCTCTAGTATATAAGACATGCTTCCTCGACTCTATGATAGGGACCTTTTTCATGGATGAATCTACTTTGTCGTCGAATTTGCTCTGTCGACGAATCTGCTCTCCCCACAAAATGCAAACAAATTATTGGAAGAGAACTTCTCCATTGCGTCATCCTAAGTTATCTCATAATATATTCTCATTTGTCTAGTTTAAAAATTTCTTTTCCGTATTTGATACTCCATGGCTAACTCTAGGTTTATCTGAGCTCACTTTTTCTACGCTGTAAATCAGTAAGAGAATTTGCGAGGAAAAGTTTCTTCCGTGGTATAGCGTTCCCTGAAGAGGACGCTTTAACCTCTGCCGAAACACGTCTTTCACACACATTAGAAGAGTGTGTTCTTAGAATTAACCCCGAGTGCTGAAAATAGTTCACTCATTCATTTCAGTTCAGAAAACAGTTCATGGCCTGATTACTTAGGATTACGCATTAGGGAAGTAATCCTGAAATAATTTGTTCGCATTTTCGAAATCATTCTTATAGCATTTGAAACTTATGGTTTACACTAGGTTTACCTGAACTCTCTAAATTTTGAATTTTTACCTACCGATTTAAATGAAACAAAATTTGCCATGTAAAGTTTCTACCATGGTATAGCGTCCTTTTAATCCTTTGAGACTGGTAGGACACATGTGCCCCTTATTTATATATTTTTTTCTGACGCTTTAATTGCTAGCTAAAATATATTTTGGTATTTTTAATTATAAAGAACAGTCTAATAGTTACTTAAAAAATATATCTTAGATTAACGGAATTGTATTTATACTAAATTATAAAATCAATTAATAGTTTGAAAATTTTTTTCATTCATATTTTAAAATTTATCAGCAATTGATTTTGTTTATTTAAAAAAATTTCCATGATGTATAACTGTTTCTAGTAGATCTAATTAACTGCAAATAAGTACAAATTTGAAAAGTTGTTTGAAAGTGAGCTTTAATTGGAAGATTTTGTAGAAGAAAAATACATTAGTTCTATATTTCATAACTGAAAATTCTGAAAATATAATGTTTTATTTATTTGACCTAAATTAATGCAAAACAAAGAAAAAAGTATGAAAAACATGTTTAGTAAAAATTCTGCTTTAAAGGGCTTGCAAATTTCAAATGAAATAAAAGATTTAAATTCTTGCTGTGACATTGAGTCACCAAATCTTAATTTTTCTGTAACTGCATTTAAACATTGTGTTTGATTATTTAAATTTTTACCTGTTCCAGTTTTGCCTGTTTATATTTCAAGGATGATGTACTATTTCCGTTGACTAAAGCGTGGGTTGTTTTATTGGTTTGCCTCTATTACTACGAAAATGTGGGTTAACACTATACTAAATAATATCTTTCCCAAAAACATGTTTGCTTCAACGTTTCATTTTGTTTTTTCTTTGTATTGTGAAGAATATTTTAAATTATAAGGTAACAGATATAGAATGTCGTAGGTTAGATTATCGGTTATTTTTGAAATTTTTAAGACTAAAATGGTTAAGGGCAAATCTTACTGGAAAATCTTACGAGACATATATATTTTCTGGTTCCAGTGCAATTATTTGTTTGTTAAATGGCGTTGCAGATAATAAATCTGCCAATCAAAGAAAAATAATTACATCATCACTTCATGCTACATTACTGAGATTTCAAAAATACTGTTATGGAATTTCATTCATTAAAAAGAATTGGAAATTCGCAACTTGGTTTTCAACTATTTTTTCTTATATTTACAAGTTTATCATCTACAGCGTCATCTGCGATCAAGATTTTGAACTAAAACCAAAAACTCTGAAAGGAAAGTTTATGCTCTGTCACATGAATTGCTTTTAGAATTGTTGTTCTAACTTAAGCTGTTATAAGAAGCACCAATTTAACTATAAAAAAAACAATGTATAAAACGATGTTGATAATTTTTTCCCCAATTACAGTCAAATTCCGCTATTGTGAACACGGTTTATAGTACCGGATATAGTGAACAAAACGTTCACTCCCGTGCCTTCGTATAATCACATAATGCTATATTTTGTGGATAGTAGTGAACAGAAAAAAAGAAAAAAGAGAGGAAGTTGGATACTTTGAACTTTTTTCTGTCTTTGACTGATTTTGTTTCTTTAATTTCTGGTAATTTTGAAATTTCTACATACTTCTAATTTCTATATGTCTCAATTTCCCATCCCTAAATAAAGGCCATCCTTAAATTTTTTGTACCCAAGACAAAGAGTAATAAAAAACAACATTTGAAGCATCTTTTTTTACTACATATTGTTTTTTAGTCATTTTTGTATTTTATTTTATTCGTGCTTATGGTTCATTGATTTAAATAATGTGTCACAAAAGGGAGGAGTTCAGTACTATTAGTTAAAATTGTTGGCGATATGGATATAGAGAACTCCCGATTATATGGAACCGAAATTTCGGCTCCTTGAAGGTTCACTATATAGGGGTTTGATTGTAGTTACAAAATGAATGATTTTGTTTTCTTTTGTCGCTTACTTGCTGTTTACATGTTGTATGAAAAGGATGAATTAAATGTTAGATGGAGAAAAAAAATGTCAGCTTATTCTTACCGTCCTTTTCTTTCGGACATTCACAACTAGGACAGGGTCCGTTAAAAACCGTTTGAACGAAACAGCCAGGAGGGCAGTTTGGGGGTGAGCACATCACTTTTGGAACTTTAAAATCTAAAAAAAAGTGTCGATTATTTAAATAAGGCAAATAAATATTATTAACCGCTTCCCTGATTCTCCCGAGTAAACTCGGGTATGTATATATTGTAAATATTTATTATCCCGAGTAAACTCGGGTATGTATATATTGCAAATATTTATTATCCCGAGTTAACTCGGGTATGTTTATAATGTAAATATTTATTATCCCGAATTAACTCGGGTATGAATATATTGCAAATATTTATTAACCCGAGTTAACTCGGGTATGCATATAATGTAAATATTTATTATCTCGAATTAACTCGGGTATGTATATATTGCAAATATTTATTAACCCGAGTTAACTCGGGTATGCATATGTCGCAAATATTTATTATCCCGAGTTAAGTCTGGTATGCATATATCGCAAATATTTATTATCCCAAGAAAACTCGGGCATAGCAGAATTCGTCAATACGTTTTGTTTTATCACGTTTCTATTCGCTGCCGGAAGTAAAACAGAAAATAATAATATTCTTCCGTGATTGGAAGTTAGCCAATATTTGTTTGAGAGCATTGCTATTTGTGGTACTGCAGACGTGTTTTGTACAATTGTATATATTGTATATTGGTGGATGAATTTACATAGAAAAGAGGATATTTTGCTTCAGATGCGAGCCGGGAGCAAAATTTGTATTAACCAGTAAACGCTAAGTTTAAAACCTGGGTCACCTCATTGGCAGAGGACTGCTCTAGTCCTGAGCCCGTGTTACTCCTGGAGGTGAATTTGGGAGGTTAAGTTTGCCATTATTGAGTGCATCTTTTGTAGGTACAGTTTGTCTACGGTAAGAACTCCCCCGCCACAAAGTTTGAGCTCGTCTGCTGCTATAGAAACAAGAATAGCGCATTTCAGGGAGGGTAGCTTCTTTTCCTTCTACGGCTAACACAATAGACCGAAGAAAAGATTCCCTTTTTTTCGCCGACCCCACCCCCACACTTGAAATAGTTATACCTCGTTACCATAGTCCCCGCCACGAGTCCAGACGAATGGCTAGGGGAGTTCCTACTTGAGACAAACTATATTTCCCAAGCGTATTATTAAATTTTCTGAATGAATATTTCGTGACATTTTTTTTCTCGTTTTCATACATTTTGGACACACTGTACGTAAAGTAGACCAAAATGTGACTAAAAACGACAGGAAAATGGAACATGTGGTAGTTAGAATACGAAACTTCCTACTTTTTTAGTAAATACACATCTTAGATTTTTACACGATATTTTGGTAATATACATGTTACCGGCAAAGTATGCAATGTCGGAATTCTTTAGAATGCCTAGGCATTGTATATAATGCCGGATGTTTTCAGGCAAGGTATGAAATATGAGAAGTATTACATACTTTCCCAAGGCATTGTATATAATACCTAGGTTTTCTATAGAATGTCAAATGCTATTTAGGCAAAGTATGTAAAAAACGTCCTAATGAAGTTATTATGTAAATGATGCGTATTTCTCAAAAAAAAAAAAAAAATGATATTATGAGAAAATAATGAGAGTGCCACTAAAAAAAATCATTCAAAATGTGTAAAGAAAATGAAAGTTGTACAAAGCATATTTTACGCCTTTCTTATTAAGGGAAACTAAATTTTCATATAAAAAATAAGAAACTAACCTATTTGTTGCAACATGGCAGGCTTGAATGATATTTTGATTTTGACATATTTGAATGATATTTTGACGAATCGTAGATGTATTTTATATTTCGCCGGTTTCTCATTTGGCATTCTATAGAGTGCCTAGGAAAAGATGTGAAATACAAATCGTTTCATACATTGCAGGCTAGATTTAGGCATTATATACAATGGCGGATTTCAAACTTTGCCGGAAACATATGTATCATGTGAGAGTAAATTGTCATGATCTTTTCTATACATTGTCTGCAGAAAAAAAAATGAATATAATTGACGTTATACCTCTCTTGCAATCACAGCCAGGACATGGACCATCGAAAACGGTTTCTATAACACATCCAGGGGGGCATTTTGGGGGGTTGCAGATTACTTCATCTTTATTAACTTCTTCTTCTGTTAAAGAAAAAAAAGCGAATGAAAAAAAATACACACAAAGAATTTGGTTTTGAATGGTTCAATCTCATCTAATTGATTGAAACTTAGATGTGGTTCTATAATGATAGAGCCACACTGAACTTGATTTCTATCTTGATTGCTGAGTAATTAATCTAAGAACACTCTGCATTGCTTAGGGGAAATTCGGTAGCCGTAGGGAAAATGAAGGAACTTTATAAGAAAATCTTCTAAAAATTCTAGCAATGAAAAGGAATTTCATAAAAATATCCCTTGAAAACAGATATTTGCCGAAATTTTTCATTATAAACAGATATTTGACGAAAGTTTCCCTTAAAAACAGATATTTGAAGAAATTTCCCGTTAAAAACAGATATGTGACAACATTTCCCTTTTAGATTTTAAGGTTTTTTTCCCTTGTAACATACAATGTTACAAAATACTGATTGATTTAGTTCATTACAATAACGGAGTGGTTTAAGGGTCATAAGTCCATAAGTGACAACATAAGATATTGATATCAAGTGATATTTTTTCCACCATTCATTTATGTATAATAAAGAAATAATGAGACAGAGACCAAAAATACGTTATTTAGAGACAGTCTTAAAATGTAGTTGCTAGTGTCTTGAAAAAGGATGCATCAGTTTTGTTCCCACTAAGTGACAGTATTCTCGTGCAAACATTTATAATTTCTTTTTATAAGCAATTGGGTACTTGCATTTCAGGAAGAAGATCACAATACCTGTGACCTATGATCGTTTTTAAGCAAAATGGCGCGTTGAGATACATTTCTCCACATAAGTTAGAATGTTAATTTACGTGACATTAATTAAATACAGTTCTTTAGCACGCATCGAATTTTTGAAATGTAGTTCTTTCTTGTCTACGTCTTTTGCTTAACTTAGAATTATTATCTGTTTACGTATTTTATTATAACCGTGACATATTTTTGTTTCGTGTACCCGACAATTTTGATGCATAATTAGTTTATGCTCTGCACAATTTTAGGCGGGTCTTGGTTAAGAAATATAAGTAATTGAAGTATCTTTGTGAAAGATTCTTTGCGTAAGAATGTAGAATGTGTCACTTAAGAGAATTGATAGTTGACGTCAACAAATGGTGTTCTAAGAGGTAAACTAGTTTTTTACCTGATTTGCAGTCACATCCAGGACAAGGACCGTCGAACACAGTTTCAATTGAGCAACCAGGGGGACAATTAGGAGGATCGCACGCAATGTCTTTCTTCAATTCTCTTACTATAGATAAAAGAGCAAAATTAATTAGTTCTGCCATTAAAAGACAGTAGTTATAAGCATTCAGTCTCTAGCCAAATTATTAGACGCACTATAAGATTCTATGTAAAATCTTAATTATCAGGTACAGATTTATTGCTTTTACGCGACTGATACCGGTTTGCATTTGTTTATGTTCGTGTATAAATTGATTAAATTGGACGATATATCTATATTAGACGATATAATATAGACGACTTGAGACGATATATCTAATGTAAATTCGACGATTGGATAAATTAAACGATATATTAGATAAACATACAATATGTTTTTTATTTTTATATCCGTCGTCGAACAGCCGACCGAATTTTGGGTTTACGACTACTAATGTTAAATTCCGTAGCCTTGTAATTTTGAACCCATTCGGAAGACAAGGAAACTTATTTATCAGTAGAAATTTTAATATCCTGGTTTAGTGTCAAAAATATCGATATATAATAACCTATTGCAATGTTTTCCAATTTAGCTAATTTATATTGTTTTTACACTGGTCAATATATATTGTAATATTTTATCGAATAAATTATTGAATTAAATAAGTTTTATCAATACTCGTATTAATATTGTATTGAATATTAATCGTCATGAATACCATTCAGAATATTATGTTGTCGATGATATTCGCGGTAAATTTGTAATCGATAATTATAAAGTTACCAATTATGATTACGATATTATCCTATTCGGTCTGTATTGTTATCGTTAATGACCGCGATATTACCGTATTTGATACAGATATGTGTATTATCGGTTCTCGGTGAGCTGTGTAATTCAGAATCTGGCATTGTTGGCAAACGTAGCTCCCAGGCCTAATAAGTGCCAAATATTTTTCACAATAACTAGTTGATGACCATTTTCTAGGTTTAAGAGTGCGTTTATGATGAGCCAGTTTTTAAACTAAATTATTTCTATTGAAAACAAAAAGTGTTTCGTAAACAGCATATTGTTTTTTTATAATAACGAAGATTCTTTTCAAATCCACTGAAATGCTGCATTTTTATGCTGTTTCATTAAGTTTGTCAGACGGAATAGTAATTAGCTTTGTTCTGGTAATGAACAAAAGTTTATTAAAATTTTTTTTTAAAAGCTCGAATCCAATACGGAGTATCAAAAATAATTTCAAACGATTCTTTGGACGATTGGTGTATTTTATTTTCAAAGATCGTTAAATTGAAATATCAAATAATATTCTCAAAAAAAAAACTATTGGGTTTTTAGGAAAGTTCTTACCTCTGTTTTAAATGTTAACATTTCTCATAACATTTCATGCATCTGACATGTTTTAGATCATTCGAAAGACAATATTTTGTTCGATCTTTGTTTTCTTTTTCGGTGCTAGTTAATTCATGTTAATTATCGAATCTTTATAATGGAATGTCTGTGTGTAAAACTGGGCAACACCTCCTTTTTTTAACTTTTTGATCAAGGTTATAGAGCATTAACCGCGTCCCTGGTTATCCCGAGTTAACTCGGGTATGCATAGATTGCAAATATTTATTATCCCGAGTTAACTCGGGTATGTATAGATTGCAAATTTTTATTATCCCGAGTTAATTCGGGTATGCATAGATTGCAAATATTTATTATCCCGAGTTAATTCGGGTATGCATAGATTGCAAATATTTATTATCCCGAGAAAACTCGGGTGTAGCAGAATTTGCCAGCAAGTTTTGTTAGATCCCGTCTTTACTGGGCCTGAAGCAAAAATATAAAAAAGTTTGCCGAGTTATGCTTGAGAGTTTTGCTGTTGGATTGTGGAACTGTTCACGTGTTATGTATGATTGAATATATACGATGGTTGTTGAATTTACCTAGAAAAAGAAAGAGTTAAAAAATGACGTTTGCGCACAAAAGAAAAATTAATGCAGACGATTTTTCAGACTATGTGAACAAATACAAAGACTAATGTTTAACTTTTTTCATTTTCCAGAGGTCACTCGGAATAGTAAACTGACGGTAACTTAAATGTTTCTTACTCATAAACAAATTAAATTTCAACTTAAAAGTTGTGTATTATGTTTTGTTTTATTTCTTTACGTTTATTAGTAAAATAAAAATGTTGATTTTTTGCATTGTTTTTAAAATAATTGGTAAGGGAAGTGGTTAAAAGCTGCTCAGAACACATGTGCTGTGTATGGAAAGGGTTCCATAGTTGAAAGAACCGCTCTTGATTGGTTTAAATATTGAGATTCTGATATCAAAGACGCACCTCGTTCTGTTCGTTCATTTGATATCCATGATCTAATAAACCAACTTCTGCCCGAAAAATCACGTCAGACGACAGAGAATTGGCAAAGAAAACCACACTTTTAGTTTAAAAAAAAAAGGGCAACAGAAACTCAGTTGTCACCCCAATAAATCCGTAATGACTCCTTATACAGTTGCCTTATTCACTTGCATAAAATTGTGAAATATTGGATAAGAACAAGCCATTCAATTGGATTTTTAACTCAATGATAATTGCAATAATTTTTATAAGATAATTGCTAAAACCCATTTGATGCGAATTGTATTGGATGTAAGACACCTTACTATTGGTTAAGGTTTGAGGTCTAGAAAGATAATAAAAAACTTGAAGAAATCAAGGTAAAATTTATAATATTGTGTTTTTTCTATTGCGTTTATTTGTAGAAATTATCAGAAAATCATGGAGTTCGTAGTACTTGAAGAAACCTATTTTATTTATTTATTTATTTTTAATACCGTACTTGAACAGCAGACCCAATTTTGGGTTTACGACTTTTAATGTTCAATTCCGTAGCCATGCGATTGTGAACCCATTCCAGAACCCAAGGAAACTCCTGGATCAGTACCCCCAGAGGTATTGACTTGTTATGAGAGCATGGAGGACTTTTCAACCCGACAGATTTAAGACCATTTACTACACGGGGAGTCCTCGGCAGGTGGGGATCGAACCCACGATCTCTTGGACAGTGTCCTACCAACCAGGCTATCCCGATCTGAAAAAATCTTTGTAAGATTTAAAATTCATATTAAACGTTTCTGATGAATTTCACAATTTTCATGGGAGATCATTTTTTAAGCTAGCGATTTTTTATCGGGTTGTTGATTCTTCAGATTCGAATAATGAGTCGTTATTATTATTTATATCAGGGTTATAATGTTCAAACTATTATTTAGTTCATGAAAATAATATAAAAATTACCTTCGCAGTCACATCCAGGACAGGGTCCGTCGTAAACTGTTTCAATTCTGCAGTTTCGGGGACATTTTGGTGGGTCACAGATTTTTGATTCTACGATGTCTGGAATATCTGCAAAATGGGAAGACAGAATAAACATTAAGACTCAAAAACAAGTCAAATACATTTTGATCTTTAATTGAAAATTTAAAGTAGAATGCAGAATATAATACAATTTTATTGATGTGGTAGTGGGGTGGGTTTAAAAGTCATACGCGTAGGCACTGCTCATCGGCTCCGTAATGTTACATGGCGACTGCGCATTGGTTAATCTGAATGGATATTTATGATCGTTGTTGAAGAGTCGACCCAATTTTTTAGGTTTACTGCCACTAACGTTCAACTCCGTAGCCCTGTCATTTTGAACCCAATCTAGAAGACAAGGAAACTCCTGGATCAAGTACTGGGATATATTTGCCTTCGTGGAGAACTTTTTGATGGAACTAACACTTATTTTGCATTACATGGAGAGGAAAACCACGAGAATTTCCCACGGTTAGACTGTCCGCAAAGGGACTCTAATTCACTACCTTGAGGATATTTTACTTCATCACTGTGGTTGGTGCAAGCCGTATGCGCATTCATATAGATCATCGATCGGTGGGATTCGAACCCGGTTCACTAATATTGACCCGGTTTACAAATATTGACACATTAATAAAAATGACACTACATACTTAAAGTTCAAAGCTATGAAAACACTGGTTAAGAACTTTTGTTTCTCGATATAAATTATTTTCAATTGTTAGATTCTTTAAAATTTTATGATGAGTCGCACGCATCAAGCGTTTGTTCGATATAGCAATTTTTATTTTCATAGAGTGACTCGCTTGCAGTTTTTTCAAATGCCGATGAGCATGCATCCACAAAAAGTAGTTTTACAAAGTGCCGATAATTTAAAACATTATCATTAATTGCTCGCATCAAGCATTTGTTTGACGATGTAGCAATTTTTTTTATTACCCATTGACAAAATGGGTCTTGGTTTAGATTTGATGGCGTCCACACACTTTTTAACTGCGTTCAAGAGTAATAGTAAACAGTGCGCATGCGTCGTCATTGAGTGCGTTGCTATGGTGACCGCTGCTGTTTTTATTTTCACCAGCAGGCATTTTTGATGTATTTACATATTAATAATTTAAAGTATTTTTGTATTTTTTTATTATTAGCGTATAATGATCTGCTTGGTAAGTTTGTTCAATATTTCATTTGTAATCAGTATATATTTTAGTAAATATAACTGTGAGACTACTTTTCGCAACATTATGTAATTTTTTTACTATATTTATATACCTTTTTGACATTTTTTCACTGTCTCAAAATTCTCGACTTCTTTAAATTAAAATTAAAAAAACTTTGGTAAAATTCCTTTTATATTTTTAACGATATTGAATATTAATTTTCAAAACATTTTTGAAAATTTTTGTTTTTAGCAGTAAATCAAGCTTTGACTATTTGTCAAAAATCCGTCATTCTCGAGATCTTGACCTTTTCTCTTTTGTTCGCTGTAAATGAATTTCGTCAGATTTCCATTCAAGGTTAATTCGAATCCAGGAAATCTTCTAGAAAAGTGTTTAAAAAGCTTTTCTGAATTGCAAAGTAAACACAATTTACATAGAAAAACAAAATTTAGTTCTCCCCGGTCAAACAGACCCAAGTTAGCAAATATTTACTGCTCCGCGGCTTTTGGGTCATCTACTTTTTTAAAGTTTTATCAAACATAATCTTTGCATTCTTTTATTAAAATGAGTTTTCAAATTTTTACGACTCCAAATATGCTGCAGTTAAGATACGATTGTCTACTGCAAAAATATTTTTATCACAAATATAACTTCATGATGTAATTCAGCATAATATAAGTCTTTACATTCTTTTGTTAAAATGAGTTTTCAAATTTTTTCCGACTCCAAATATGCTTCGGTTAAGATACGATTGTCTACTGCAAAAATATTTTGATCACAGATAAAATGTGATGATATGACTCAACGTAATAAAATGTAACAAATTACAGTTTGGAAAAAGAAGTAACCGTTATGGGATTTGAACATTTTCTAAACTTAAATTTTAATTATATGCTTTTTGCAAAAAAAAAATATTATGCATTTATAAGTAACAAACTGTTTTATAAAAAAAAACATTTTAAAAATTTTTTAAAGAAAAAGAAAATTTTAAATAGTATTAATATGATAAACTAAATGGGATGCTCATATATTAGTCTTTTTTAATATAGAGGGAAAACAAGGACACATAATATTGGAGAATTCAAACACAGAAAACAATAATTATATGACTTAAAACAATATGAATACATGAAGATTTAATTATGTGATTGATTGTTATGCATTTTTACGCTTCATAGTTTTTACTGTGTTCCAACGTAGCTTCATACTTTTCATATTAATTTTTATTCACCTCAAAGCTTCTATTATTCTTCATTCTATTATTTTAGTACAGAGATGATATTTTATATTATATTTTCTAATGTATAGAATAAATTCTAATATATAGAATATATTCTAATAATTATTCAAATAATATTCTAATACTTATTCTTCTATTCTAATAATTGTATTATAAAAGAAGAGTCTTATACTATACTAATAATTCGATTAATTTATTACTTTTATTAAACTCCTGTGTTTCCTCACAGTGTTTCTATTTTTTTATTCTATTATTTTAATATGTAGTCAAAAATAGAGAATATATTATATATCTGTGATCTATATTCCAATATAAAGAATATAATTTAATAACTATTCCATTATTCTAATAGATCTATTATTCTGCTATTTTTATTGAGCTCCTGTATTGCCTCACTATTTCTATTTTTTATTCTGTTATTCTAATATGTATTCCAGTATAGAGTATATATTATACATTCTATGTTCTATATTCCAATATATAGAATATATTCTAAAAACTACTCTATTATTCTAATAATTTTATTTTTCTAACAGTTTTATTAATCTCCTATATTGTGTCATAGTTTCTATTATTATAATATTAGTTTTTTGTGTTCTTTTGTTGCTTAATTTTAATGTACATTTTTATTGTGTTGTGTCCATGCTAGTTATTGGTGCTCATGTAATATTTTTTTTTGTTTCCATGTTGCTTTAGGAATATTTCATAATTTGCAAGTTTTTTTTTCCGTACAGTCTTTCTAAGTTTCTTTTTGTCCTATGTGCTATTGGTAGCTTCTGTCAATACAAACTCCATGTTTTGCACAGTTAACACACAAGCCACATATTTTAACAAAATTAACTTATATAAATAAAAGAACAAAGTTTTACATATTTCATTTACCTATACAGGAGCATCCTGGACAAGGACCATCAAATTCAGTTTCGACGAAGCAGCCCGGCTCACATTTAGGAGCGTCACAGATGACTCTCTTTTCTACTATTTCGACGATTTCTACAGAAAAAAAAATATTTTTAAAATATAGAATCATTTCTATTTTTTTATCCTTCATTAAAAAACGTAATTATACAAAAAAATCTTGTATTTTATCTTACATTTTAGTTTTGGATCTGTTTATGTTAGAAAGTGATCAGAATTTTGATTGGTAACACAATTTCGATAATTACTATTCAGCTATATAATTGCACTAAATCCTGCTTACAGTGGTCAGAAAATGATTCAATTTTTTTTTTGCCTTCCTGCGCTTCTTGTCCGATCCAGTTACAAGTTCAACTCAGTAGCTAGTCGGATACATTTTGATTGCCAGGCAGTGCTAAAACGATGGTAGTGCTAAACACTGATCTAAAGTGCGATCTCTTACAATAATTCAGTTAAAGTTTAATTCAGACAAAATTATTAAATTTGTGTCTAATTGTGTTTTGTAATAGAAACTATAGCAAAAGATCTAGATAAATAGCTTTCAAAAAAAATTTTATGAACCAAAGAAGTCAAATTTGGACATCTATATTATTTATTGAGCCAATGTACCACCCATTTTTTTCCAATGATTTCTAGACCTTTGCAAATAAAAGTAAGATTATAAAGATTCAGTTGGGTGGCTATTGGGTAATATCCTTATTGAATAAAAGCGCTAGTTATAAGTTAGACTATTTTACTGTGTGAAACATTTTCAGGGTAAACGATTTACTGACTTGATGCATGTCCTAAAAAAGTAACGAACGAAACCGCACTATTAATTTTAACATAAAATATATTAACCGCTTCACTGATTATACCGAGTTAATTTGGGTATGTATATATTGCAAATATTTATTATACTGAGTATCTGCGTTGCAGAATTTGTCAGTATGTTTTGTATTATCACGTTTTTACTCGTCTGGAAGTAAAAAGAAAAAAAAATCTGCTGTGATTGGAAATTTGGCAAGTTTTGTTTTGGGAGTTTTGATGTTGGTTTGTGGGACTGCACACGCGTTTTTGCTATTGTATATACGATGGTTGCTGAATTTGCATTAATCCTTTCCTTCTCGCTCCCATGAAAATGACGTGGTGAGGTTTCGCCCTCTATTTCTCGTTCCCGTGATTTTGACGGTTTGGAGTTTTCAGTAGTAACGGGCCAATAAAAGTAAAACTAGTTCTTTTGCCCGGAAAACATTTTATTACTCATTTTACACACCAGATGGCAGTACCAGGATATTTTTAAGGTAATTGTAGATAGTTAGTTTATTTTAAACTAGTTGCAGCACTAATCAAATACGTAATACAAATACAAAAGCCCACCCCCCAAAAAATAGACACTTTTATGACCGTTTCCTTGAAAATTAAGCAATAGTTATGGGGGGGGGGTTTAAAAAAAGAGTAAATAAAAATGGTGTATCAGTACACTGGCGTTAGGAATGTATCCCTTGTTTTAAAAACTATCTCACAAAGACTAATATTTAACTTTTTTCCTTTTCCCCTTTATAACTCGGGATAATAAACTGATGGTAAATTAAATATTTTCTACGCAAAAAAAATTAAAATTTCTACTTAAAAGTTGTGCATTATGTTTTGTTTTAGTTTCTTGTATTTATTAGTGAAATAAATTTTTTTTTTGAGTTTTTGCATTTTGTTTCCAAAAAAATTGGTGAAAGTAAATAATTTATTCTTATTTATCCATCCAACCTATTTTAAATACTTTCTCCTGTCTTTATATAATACCTTCGCAACGAATTGTTATTTTTCTTTACACGTGATTTAGTCAGAGGCAGTCCAATGAATTAGAGACCTTTGATAAATATTGTTTGGTTCTGGTTTTGAGCGAATAACAGCCAGTATTTGTGAGAGCATTGATTTTATGGAATAGAAGAGCCTTCCTTTCCAGAGTGCATTTATATCCAGAGAATACCATGCATTTGATACGTTGGCTACACAGACTTTATGATCCTGTAAATTAGATGGAACAGGAAATCGCTGTTGGATGTGAGTTTTGAACTTTTCCCAATGATCGATGACTTTCGTAGATGAGGGTTAACGATGTCGAGAGCAGCTTTCCCCACACTGGTGACCTTCGGACGTGATGGGAATATGCCTACATTGACTGAAACTTTTACTTCGAAATGAACACGCCTTAACAGTAACGCCCACTTCTATTTGAACAGCCCTACTTCGATGGATGGTCCACATTAAACAGTTGACTTATCTCTTATGTCTTAACAGTAACGCCCACTTCGATTTGAACAGCCCTACCTCTATGGATAGTCCACATTGAACAATTGACTTGCTACTTGTGACTGCGACATTGTCCTCCTCACGTTGTTGCTTTTCAGTCTCGATCACACACTCGACTGCTAAAGGCAACACAGAAGCCAACACGACACTGAACTTAATACAGCTCTCACGGACAGCACTCAAAAAGTACGGTGATCTTAATACAGCTCTCCCGATTTCTCACAAAACAGCATTGAATCAACTAGTGGTATCCATGTATCGAATTCTATCAAAGATATAATTCTGGTGGGGGAGTACTGTAGTCTATCTACCACTACAAAAATATTATTCCAATTCACTAGTATATAAAACATGCTAACTTGATTCTAAGTTGGGATACCAGTTCATAGATGTAGATTGACATTGTCGATATGACTTTTCCCAAACTGATGTTTTTCGTTCCATGAGATTTATTCGGAGAACAATAACTCAACAGATTCAAAGACACCTCTGAGCAAGATCAGCTAACTTCTTTTGTACCGTACAGAAATAAAAAGTAATTTAATACGTTCGTATGAACTTTAATGTTTTTTTTTCTTTCACGGACCTTTTTTTTACGTGTACTCGGTTAAAATGGTTGGTCTCTTCTTGAATTCTCGATTGTAATATAAATGTAAAGCGTGGNCTTAACAGTAACGCCCACTTCTATTTTAACAGTTCTACTTCGATGGATGGTCCACATTAAACAGTTGACTTATCTCTTATATCTTAACAGTAACGCCCACTTCGATTTGAACAGTTCTACTTCGATGGATGGTCCACATTAAACAGTTGACTTATCTCTTATATCTTAACAGTAACGCCCACTTCTATTTGAACAGTTCTACTTCGATGGATGGTCCACATTGAACAGTTGACTTGTGACTGCGACACTATCCACCTCCTCGTACCGTTTTGATCACACACAACGTATTCATTCGACTACTAAAGGCAACACAGTAGTAACCACGACCGTGAACTTAATACAGCTATCACGATCAGCATTCAAAAGTACGGTGATCTTAATACAGCTCTCCATGTCTCTCACAAAACAGCAATGAACCAACTAATGGTATCCTCCGTCGAATTCTATCACAGATATAACTTTGGTGGGAGAGTACTGTAGTGGGTCTACCACTATAAAAATACAATTCCAAGTCACTAGCATGTAATCCACATTAACTCGATTCTATGTTGTGGTACCTTTTCATAGATGATGTTAAACAATGTCGATAAATACCCTCCCACATATATACGCCCGAGTTAATTTGGGATTATCAGGGAAGCGGTTAAAAAGTAAAGAATATTGTATTATCGTTTCCATCTTTTCTTTTAATTCATTGCTCAGTCAACTTACTAATTTTGACTCTCTTAAATATCTTACTCACCTTTCGTTCCTTTGCAATCACATCCGGGACAAGGTCCGTCAAATACAGTTTCGATCACGCATCCCCGGGGACATTTTGGGGGGTCACATCCGATTTTTTCTTCATAAATTTCTGAAAGTATACAAATAGCAGATTTTTGAAGGGTATAGAGCTACTTCTTAGTAAGCTACATTTTAAAAATTTTTAAGAGTGTTTTTGGTAAAGAACACTATGTTTTTCACGTACAAAATAAGGAGGATATTAATTAATGTTTCGGTAAATAATCCCAATTATTATGCTAACTATTGTATCATTGCCATTCCTACTAATAATTTTTGTGTCATTAGGTTACTTTACCATTCCTGTTATTAATGAATATATTGAATACTGCAGTCGATGTAAATAATTAATGTATCGTAAAATAAGATTGCTGATTATAATGATAATTGATGCATCTAAAAGTAATATCATTCATTATGATAATATGAATGATATTATCATAATGAAAATCATGATAATCATTCATTACGCAATCTCATTCATTACGCAACTCTTGATATAATGACCCTTTAGGGTTTGGGAAAAAAGGAGGTTATAGTGTGAAGTAGTTATATCGTAATAGCACAGTAATACCATAAATATCAATTCACTGCAAAAAATACTTGATTAATACTTGACAAAGCAATGCTATAATATATTTTATTATGGATTCGGTTACTAACAAAAAAAAATCGGTAATAATGTAACTTTTTTTACATAATAACGTGCAAAATTACCTTTTAAAATAATATTTCAAACTTGAAAGGTTCAGAAATTCCAATTTTTAAAAAAATAACATACTGTAAGATAACTGCGAAGACCACGTACGAGCAAACTAAACGAAACTAAACAAAAGGACTAACCTATTCATTAATAAAGCGAAAACAATTTTCAAACAAGAAAAAGCATGATTGATAAATTTATTACGGAAAGAAAGTTTCACAGATTATAAGCGACCATAAAGTACGAACCTTTAGGACTTTGAATAAAAATTTGAGGAGTGAAATTCCCTTCGTTAGAAGGGGATTTGAGGAGTTATTGTGTGGTAACTTCAAGGAAAATAATGGTTTAAATGATTTAACTTTTTTTTAAAAATTAAAATGACTAAATTAGGGTTGCATTTTAATTTTTTATTTTATAACCGTCGTTGAAGATCCTACCCAAGTTTGGGTTTATGACACTACTAATGTTCAACTACGTAGTCTTGTCTTGTTGAACCAATTCAGAAGACTAGGAAACTCCTGGTTCAGATTTTACTTGCACCAGTCAGCTTTTACTACACCAGTCATCGGTAGGCGGGGATCGAACCCACGACCTTTTAGACATGGGCATAGTGCCCCACCAACCAGGACCTTCAAATGGAAGTTAAAATAGCATTGCTTCTATGGAATAGCAAATGGGACTTCATGCATAGCATATGTAATGAAACTTCATATATAGCTCGTTGTTATCGAAGTGTCGCTGTAATAGGGGTCGTATTATAGAGCGTAGATTGCCACCTATCGTTTAAAGTCGAGAAAAGAAAATTTAGTCTTTCCCGCTATCTACTGTTTTCATAATCTAGGTATCCCCAAATAGAATAGTTGGGGCAGGGATAGCCTGGTCGGTAGGGCGCTGGGCCCATATCCAAGAGGTCGTGGGTTCGATCCTCGCCGGCCGAAGACTCCCCGTGTAGTAAATGGTGACTGATGCACGTTAAATCTGTCGAGTCTCAAATTCCTCCATGTTCCCACAACAAATCAATGCCTCTGGGGGTACTGATTCAGGAGTTTCCTTGTCTTCTGGATTGGTTCAAAATTACAAGGCTACGGAATTGAAGGTAAGTAGTCGTAAACCTATGAAATTGCGTCAGCTGTTCAACGACGGTTATAAAATAAAATTATAAAATAGAATAGTTTGTAAATTAATATTTCTGTCATACCTTCTTTTTTGGAGCAGTCGCATCCAGGGCATGGTCCGTCATAAACCCTCTCTATTTCACAACCAGGTGGACATCTTGGAGGATCACACATTTGAATTTCTTTTCTTATATCTTCAATTAGAAATATAGATTATAAAATAGTTGAGTCAATAAAGTATTGTTTCAAAATTAACATTACAGTAATACAGTCGGATTTCTATTTAAAGAGCTTCCATTTTGCGATATTCTCTATTTTACGACTTTTTTCGAGGAACCAAGAATATTTTGGAAATTTCTTCGTAAAATACCTTCCAAATAGCGATGTGAATTTTCTATTTCATGAACTTCTTTTTGAGAACCACTTTCTCTATTTCCCAAAATATTTCAGGACATTTCAAACTTGTTTTGCATTTTTTGCATTTGCAAACTTGTATTGCATTTATTGGGGAAATGACCTTGAATTGTTTGTCGTAGCTACTAAACTTATAGAGAAAGCAGTAAAATCCCTTTTCGTTTTCATTTCAAACGAAAAACAGTAGCAATTAAACTTAAGAACGCATGTGGTAATGTATGTGGAACGCATGTAGTATGTTTAAAATTACTTTTATAATGAATGCAACTAAAATTTTATCTATTAGCTTTTATTAGTTGAAAATGTATGTAGCCTGATACTATAACACTGAATAATGTTTTTCTTTCCATGCAGATTTCTTTTATGGTCAAGATTTATAAATAAATAATAGATCCTAGTTTACAAGATAAAGGTGTATCAATTTTTAAAAAAAAATTCTGTCTAGTGTTTATGAATTTAAAATCTGTTTTATGTTGTTTAAGTACTTCAAAAGGTGATTTTCTATTTAACCAATTTTCCACATAACAAACTTATTATTTGGCGACTTCGTTAAATAGAGGTCCAACTGTATTGTTACGATGGGTAAGTGGGGTTTACCAATCGTAGTCGATTCAATCTTGAGGTCAACATCTATAATACATCTTAGTATCGGACAATCTCCATCAACCTTGAATAAAAATCAATGTCGGAAATACCGTACAATGGTTCTCAACCTTGAAAAAATATCAGAGTACAAAATACCAGACAATAGCTCTCAACCTTGAAAAAACATCAATGTTGGACACAGCGTATAATAGCTCTTTACTCTTGCCAAAAGAGAAGAAAAAACAGGGTAAATGCATCACGGGTTATTACCGTAAATATGCGTCAGAGAAGGGACCAAGACAAAATTCCTGATGGTACCATCAAAGGATTTTGATGGTTTATGTTGGTTTCGGCAAGATTCTTGTCCAGCATGTTCCCATCGTACAACAATTTCCATCTAGTTTTGAGACTTTTGGATGGTCCAAAAAGTTTCCATCATTACAAAATGAAAATTTTCCTTTTGTGTTATGATGGTAAACCATCAGGCAATGTTTGATTTTTGATGAGCCAATATAAATCATCATAATTTGATGGCAGAGGTTGTTTTACCATTATGATGGTCACTAATAAGTTAAGTTTTTTTTGCTGGATCCGCAACAATCATCAAAATATGATGGAAGATGCTGTATGGCTATTTTGATGGTCCACCAACAAGATTTGTTTATTAATGTTGGACCAACAGCAAACATTAAAATATGATGGAAGATATTGTTTTATTAATATAACGGTTAAACCATCATGTTATGTGTAGTATTGTTGGACCAACAACCATCTAATTAAGATGGAACATGTTGCTTTACTACTATGATAATTCATGCTATATTTGTTGTTTTTGGACTAATAACACCCATCAAAATAAGACGGGAGATGTTCTTTACCATTATGATGGTCAACCAGCAAGTTATGTTCTTATTGTTGAATCAAAATACAATGGAAGATATTGCATGGCCATTTTGATGGTTTTTCCAAAAAAGTTATGTTCACTAATGTTGGACCAACAACAGCCATTAAAATATGATGGTTCAATTATCATGCCATGTTTTTTATTGTTGGACCAAACACAACTATCAAAATAAGATTAGAGGCGTTATTTAATCATTATGATGGTATACCAGCAAGTTATGGTTTTTATTCCTAGACCAACAACAACCATCAAACTAAGACGGGAGATGCTGCATGATCATTTTGATAGTCTACTAAGAAGTTATGGTTTTTAATATTAAACCAACAACAGCCATCAAATTTTCTTGGAAGATGTTATTTTACTATTATAATGGTTTAACCATCATGTTATGAACTTAATATCGTACAAGTCTCGTTAACATTATACTGATCAAGCAAGAGTTATTTATGTATTGTTCCCTAATAATGTATTATCATTATATGTATATAGGAACATTGGACTTTAACTATTTAGGATTGATTAGACATAGTTTTAACAGGTGAAACGTGAAAGCTTTGCACATTTTTTGTCTTTCAGCCGATCAATAGCAATAAGTCAAATCTAAAACTAGCTAAACTTTGAAAGGAAAGTTAGAATTTTTAGGTTTCGAATAATTTGAAAGGTATTTACCATCTATGTCCTCTTCTGATACCTTGCACATGCATCCTGGACAAGGTCCTTCGTAAACCTCTTCTAGCTGACACCCAGGGCCACATACTGGTGGGTCGCAGACCGGTGGACACTCACATTTGAAACAACCCCGTTCATCTCTCACCTTCTCACACCCTTTGTCGCATTTCATCCACTCACATCTCGGCCTCTTCCAAGACTCTGGAACATTCACATATATTGTCTTCATATAAACTGCAACTGTAAATACAAGCTGGTAAAAATTACAGGGTGGGCACCCCAGAGATCTGATTCTACCAAACTGATCCCAGGGAATGATCAAGTACATGCTAGTACGTTAATATAGTATTCATTGGTTACGCTGTTTATCATACACACAGACAGTCGGACTCCGATATACTATAATTCTGGTAGTTTAGCCGTATTAAGTGAAAGCAGTTAATAAACAGTTTGTTCTCAAGATTAGCAGTTTGATTACCATTTTATTTATGGTATTTCATTATTGGACTGCTTTGATTAAATATGGTAAAATAACCATTCAATAAATTGTTATTTAACCATTTTTTCAGAGAAATTTGTAACAGTGTACACGGAACTTTTTACACAAGAGTTTGAACTAGAACGTAGACTGATGTGAATCATTTGAGAGTAGGTTTTACCCTTGAAAGTTGATTTATGTAAGGTTTTTCACTTGAGAATTGATTTATATAAGATTTTTCACTTGAGAATTGATTTATGTATGATTTTTCACTTGAGAATTGATTTATGTAGGATTTTTTCACTTGAGAATTGATTTATGCAAGATTTGGTTTTGAAAATTGGTTAATGAAAGATTTTTTACTTGAGAATTGATCGATAAAAGATTTTATTCGAGAAAGTCAATTCGCGAGAAAATTGGAAAGACACATTTTTCATGCGTAATTAATGTTCATAATTGTTACATCCAAAACTTTTCCTTCTGGAAAAATTATTACTGTCGTAAAATTTTTATCCAAGAAACCTTTCAGAAAGTGTCCCTTATTAATATTTAGTTGACGTCGATTCGCGGCAAATTTTATTCACGCAATATTTTTTTCTCTCGTAATTTTGTTTATATTTTGTATAATAAGAGATTTTGGGTAGTAGATTGTATGAAATAATAATAACAATTATTATTATTTACATTTGACTAATAAGAAAAGATACTTAAAATAAATTCTAATGAATTTCAGATATTTTTAAAGATTTCATTTATATTAACGGAGATAAGGCTTGCCTACTGCTTGTAATTTAAAAAGCTGCGACATGCTGTAGTAGCTCCTGCATACATTTTTGAAAAATTTGCCATAAATGATTTAGAAAGATTTTAAATATTTTTTAGAATGAAACCGAAATTCAGCCGATATAGTTAATAGTTACAAAAATACGAGAGTTTCATGAGTTAGTCAAAAAATTTTACTTTTTGTCCCTAAACACTTCATAATTTTTAAGTTCATAGTTCGTCCGACATTATTTTTCTTTATTTTATTCAGCGAGAAGAATACGTGAAATTCCATCAATTGTTTAAGTAGTAATATCAGACAAATATATGAATCTAAGATAGAAATTGTACCTTTTCGCATATTAAAAGCCTTTTACTAAAAAAAGTTATTAACTAAAAAACAACTTAAGTTTTAATTTCAGTGTCAAAAAATGCATCGAAAAATAATATGTCCATTAATAGTGTAATTTAAATGTCTTTAATCATCCCTAAGTAAATACTAGATGGAGGTTCACATCAGAGTAGAACTTCAGATATGGACTTTTGAGACAATTTCCTTTTATTCAATTCCTATTATTAGTTCACACTCCTTCTATACCTTGTTCAAATTTTCAATAGTTAATAAAATACTTTATTTCATCCACTCAAATTCAAATACAATTTTTTAACTAGTAGTGTATGACACTTCATGTTAATACACTTTTTTCAAATATTAATTCGTTCATTAAATTTAAATAATTAATTTTAGTTTTGTATGTTAGAAAAAATTGTAATTATTTAATAAAAAGTAACTAAAATGAAATTTTTCTTCGTTGACATAAGTTTATTATTTTTATTATTACTTGTTTTTTTTAAGTATGCAACTACTCAAAAACTGACTTCTCACTAAATAATACATCTTAATAAATAATCTGCCTTAAATACTGAGTCCACATTAACCCTAATTCCCATTTTGAGCTCTTTCATTAACATGAAAACTGGCTAATTCACGTATCCACCAGAAATCAGGATAAAAGCAAACGTGACCAGTTACGTTTTTTTTTTTTACTTCAATGCCTGGAGCCATTAATACTGCAGAAAAGTATGAAAGAAGTACTTACTTCGGTATGCCTCGATAGTGCTGGCAACGGCAAGGAGTACGAGGATCACGTACAACTTCATGACGTCTGGTCTGAAGATCTATTTTCCGGATCGTTCTCTTTTTATCCTCATCTTCCGGTGAGGAAACCGACAACTTTTCGATAGATGGATGAAGTCGATAACAGAAGTTGAAATAGAACACAAAGAACAATAGTTTTCTGAAGAAGAATTATTTTTTTACTTTTCATGCAAAATAAATGACACATTGCTTTTGTAAGGGGGCGTGAGGATTTTTATTAAAAAATCAAAAATGTCCTTCTTAGCATATGGCGAAAGTTTATGAATAGTGCTGGATCATTTTGATGTGTGAGACAGTCAAATCCCGTTATAATGAACATTCAAAGGACTGAAATTTCGGTTCACTATAACCGGGAGTTCATTTTATCTGTACTGCAAACAATTTTATCTCATTCATATAACGAACTGCTCCTTTTTATTACACATCTATATTATATAAAACGCTAATACGTGTGTATCCATAAAACCGATGATATTTCTTTTCTCGCGTTGGCAACAGTTCTCATTTTTAATTGATAGGTTTCGCTGCGCAAGAGCACGTAGTGAGCATCATATGGCTAATCTATCTATATATATATATTTCTCTTACACGGCACCAAAAAAAAGCCTCATTACAACTCCCCGAATGGCAACGTTAGAAAATCGACCCATGATTGCTGCTAAAAATGTCACATGGCAAATCTAGTTGAGGTGGCTCAACATATAGCGCTTTTGAAAACGGAAACAATAACCAGAGTGAGCATTATCTGGTTGTTCAATTTAGATTCATGCCCTAAAAACATGATAATATTTAATTTAAACTCAATTGGGTATAATATGAAAAAAACACAACTACTTCGATTTAATAGGAACAACATATGACGCAATGCTAAACGAATGGAATTTAGTTGTTGTTTATTTAGTTATTGTTATTAGTAGTTGTTGTTATTTGTTTTAGTTGTTGTTGTTTATTTAGTTGTATTTAGTTTCAATAACTTTTCTTTATAATGCAATAAAATCTGGCGAGCAGCAATTTAAACGATCGAACACTTCGTTTGTTTATTTGTGGCTTGAAGTTAGGCTCGCAGAAAATGCCGTTTATGGGTTAAATTTAGTAGGAACAACACAGCCTGTGACGTAGGCTATATTATACCCAATTAGGAGTTAATTAATTAATTGAAGTGAGAGTGCTTTAAAAGGCCGCTGCTGAATTGATATTTTTCTACTGGGAGCTACCTAAACGTCTAAAAAACGTCTAAATGTTTGTATTGAATGCACTGAATTTTTTGATTTATGAATGAATTTATTATACACATTTTGTTGAATTAAGGTGAGTAACTGCAATATTTGATAATTTATTTTGCTAATATGTTTCTCATTTGATTTTCTCACCATGTACAATCTAAATAGCTAATATATTTTTTTAATAGCCTATAAGAGCATTGATAGAATTCTTCTACATAAGTACAATACTATGTCTTTGATGATAATGTCTTTGTGCTAGAACATTGTGTTCATTGGCGAGTGAGCGCAGCGAGCCATGGTTCACGGCGTGAACCACATAGGATTGCGTAGCAATTCTCGGGGGTTGGCGAGCGTCAGCGAGCAGGGGGCGGAGCCTCCTAGTTATGAAATAAATGACCCATAAAAAGAAATACAAAAAAGATTAAACAATATGTAGTAACAAAAAATGTGTTAACTTTTATTCCTTATGACTCTTCTTCTATCGTACAAAAAATGTAGGGATGGCCTTTATTTAGGGATGGGAAACTGAGATAGAAGAATCAAATAAGAAAAATGCTTATGGCTACATTCCACTCAACAGATGGTTTTAAATATGTATTTTATGTAAAAATTTCAAAATAACCAAAAAATGAAGAAAAAAAAAATCAGTCAAAGACAGAAAAAAGTTCACAATAACCCTCTCTTCTTTTGGTTCACCATATCCACAAAACATAATACCATATGTTCCGTCATCAATAAACAGTTAGTTTTAATAATTGTTTTAAATCGTCTGCCGATATAATAACTGCAACTCCAGCTGGTTGCTAGGCAACCAAACGACTTTTTCTTATTATTAATGTTTTTGTTTATCGTTTCGTCTCTGTATGTCTGTGGAAATAAAAGAATGTAAAAGCTAACACCATATGTGTATAGCAAGGCACGGGAGTGAACATTTCGTTCACTATATCCAGGCATGTTCACTATACTATAGCAGGGTTTGACTGTTTATCTCTAAAAAATATCGAGATTTCGCAATATTTTTCGATCTTATTAATTAAAAAGAATTACAGTTGCTGACAACATTTTGGTTGCACAAACGACACTCATTGATACTTATGATAATATTGTTTTTGTTATTAATAATAGTTTTATTTATTTATTTATTATTATTATTATTATTTGCTACGGCAGGCACTGAACATTCGTTCTTCACCTCGAAAGATGCTATAAGTGTTGCTCATTTAACGTTACCCTGTGGGCACCTGTGTACCTTAAGTCACGGAGGCGAGCAACATTACCCACGCCTCATTGCCACACATAACCGTTTATGAGGTGGGTCACATTCACACAATAGAGAACAACACATAGAGAGAAACATCCATACCCCGAGCGGGTCTCAAACCCACAACTATTGGCTTCACAGTCAGGCACGCTAACCGCTCAGCCACCTGCCCGGCTCGATAATTGTTACCATTTATAAGACTCATGATATTACCCTATTCAATATTTATTGTTTTGAATATGATCGTTGTATTATTGTTTTCGATTGTTTGGATATTAATTGTATAATACTCTGTGGACATTATGGTACTTGAAATTTCCCGTTGTCGATAATGACTATCGATCTATGATAATTATCGTATCTTCTGGATTTCTCTTAAGACGTGGTATTCATAATTTAGCTGAGGAATACTTTAAAAATATCGATATCGTGATGGTTAAGCTTTACTATTAGCGAATTAATATATTATTGAATTGAATTTTTGAAATACGCAATTTTGGAAAAATTGCAACGCCCAATACAGAGCCAGAAAATGAGCACACGCCTCTATTTTTCCAAAATTGTCCGTTCCAAACCTCAGTATTTATATAACCGTCGTTGAACAACCGACCTAATTTTTGGTCTAACGACTACTAATGTTTAACTCCGCAGCCTTGTCGTTTTGAACCCAATCCAGAAGACAAGGGAACTCCTGGATCAAGTATTGAGAGAAATTTGCCTACATGGAGGACTTTTTGATGGAACTAACCCGAATTTGCTTTACATGGAGAGGAAGACCACGAGAGCCTCCTACGGTTAGCCTGACAGCAAAGGCACTCTAACCCATGATCCGTTACCACCATACATTTATTCATTTATTGTGTTTTTAAAAAAGGGATATTTATTTTTTAATATAGATTTTTACTTTTAAATTAAGTAATCTTCTGTTTATGTTTCATAAATTGCATGGAGATGGGCGAAAAAACCACGTTTTATCCCTCAAACATCAGCACTCAGCATCATAATCGATAAAATAACTTCGGTAAAAACTATTAAATAAGTTCTAAATATATTAGTTTAATGCACAGAAAGTGTCTCGAAAATGGTCAATGACTTAAAAAAATTAAAGATAAGCTCAAGGATAATGCTTAAAAAATGAAGTATTTATTTTCAACAAGTTTCTAAAATACATACAAAGTTTGTCAACAGGTAGCACTGTTGACTGGGAACGACTATGAAATAGTGTGTGTAATATAACCACTATTTGCATCCCGAACGTAGAGCAGTTTAGGAACAAAAATAATGGATGCCTGCGCAAATATTTTAATTTGATGGTTAAATCATGACCCCGAAAACATTGGGTGAGTTCCATGACTTGGAATGTTTGGGGTACGCTTCAAAATGTTTCGACTCTGTCGTTCGAAACACCGGTTAGAGTCGATGAATTTCATATTTTATCTATTTTTTTAAAAAATAACTATTTTGAGTAAAAAATTTTATAATAAATTTAATTATAATACAGAATCTTTCCAATCGCATTCTTTACTGCAATTTTTTCAGCAAAATAAAAGTTTATAAAAGGTAATCGTTCAAGAATTTAGAATCTGATTGGTACATTTTAAGCAGAACGGAGTATCTCCATGGTTTCTAAATGTCTGGAATTGAATTTTATCATTCTTTACGATTTCGACTTTTTCTGTCGCAGTTTTCTTCATGAAAGAATTATTCAGAGTATAAATAAAATGAATTATTATTAAATAATGACGTCACATGGAATCTATGAATTATATTGTTGAAAATGTATGCAGTCCTCTTACTAGTAGTACAGAAGTACAGTTAGGTTAGTTGAAAACGAAAATTTTTTAAATATCCATGACTTCAAGGTGTTCCGTAATCACCGCCCTCATTTTGGATCGTAAATTAGTATTGAAAAAGTAAAAGTAAGATAGGGAAGCCCGTTTCCGGTATCAGAACTAGTGTAGAAAGACGGCGTGCCGTGCATATTTATTTTAGCCTTGCAGACAAAAACAAACCGCACTTCTTTTTACATAATAGTACGATGTCGATGCGAAATTCACAAAATATAGGACTGCTTAAAAATGTTTAAAATCCAAAGAAACGTGGAAAAATAAGATCTTTTTTCGCTTTATTACCATTCTTCCTGATTAGAGGGCAGTTTTGTTTAATTGCTTCAGTTTGAAACTTTGTTAGTTTACAAATTTATTTCATTTCAGATTGATCATTTATTTTCCGAAGATTTAGAATATTTTAATCTATATATTAGTCCACGTAGTGTTAAGTTAACTTGTTTTTAAAATTTAAATTTTACCATTGAGTCACTTCAGTAAGCTAAAAATATTTGGAATCAAGAATATTTCCCATTTTAATTTAATTTCAGTGGTTACAGAATTCTTCCCTTAGTTTCACTTAATGAAATTCCTATATATATATATATATATATATATATGCTCTTGTGTGGGAAACGTTCGATCCATTTCATAAACCAATAGCAACTACTAAGATTTCCCTCTTTCCCTAAATTAAGACATTTTACGGATTTTACTTTGCAAGATTTTCCCTAACA